GTCCATATACCAGCGAGAACACACGCACACACATCATAGCTTCGCGTCGCCGTTTGCGAAAACCGCCGCAGGTCCACTCAGGTGCAACATGACTATTGTCCATGTTTTTTTGGTTTGCAAGCGGTCCACGATTGTGTGCCAACTCCAGTAGCTGCGCACTGCGTGGTCGTGCCTGGGGCAAGGCAGGATAAGAAGGGCCACGACCGGGAGATTATCCACGAAACACTTGGTTTTCCTCGTGCTTCTCGTTGTAGCGACCCAGCTCCCCAAGACGTGTCAAGCATGAGCGCAGACGGTGCGAAGATGAAGTCGATAGTGGTGGCGCCGCAGTGGCCGATGAACGTGGGGCCAACCTTCCTGCGCGTGTTGATCACGCCCATGTCGTGGTCCAGCATGAGATCGTGTAGCAGCTTCCCGTTTTTGTTTCCGTGCCCGTCCCGTAAGGTCCAATGCGTGGGTCGCGATGAGCCTGCTGACCTCGGAGCCCCGTCCCCGTGTTAGTGTCCGCCGGTACCACTGGGATTATGCGAAATGCGCAGCTCTTGCGTTGAGTGTCCAACTGCTGCCTCAGCACCACACGCCCTTTGCGCCAACTCGGTCGGCCGCTCGCGGTGCGAGGCCGTGGTCCACAGCAGAGGGCAATCACACGCAGACAAAGAGAGCCCTGGTCGGTGTCGATCATGCGACCTCTGCCAGCGACGGTACATGGCGGCACCTCGATCCTCGCGATGGACGGCGTGCGCAACTGCTCGACAAATACGATGCTGCAGCCCGCAAGCTTATTGGTACATGCGGCAGGTCACCACAGAACGTGAACAGTGTTGTGGTGCCGCGTCTGTTCTCGTGAGCAGGGCGTGGGTCTCCTTGCGCACGTGCTGTGGGTCGCCTTTGGCCTGCCCCAGTCACGCCTCCCGCCGCCACGCTGCGATACTCGGGAGCGGCCAAGAGGGGGGTGTCCAACAGGGGGGGGGGGGGTGCAAATCATGACCGGCGGCACGTGCGCGGCCCGGCGGGGGGTCCAGGGACGTATCAAAACAAGAAGAGGCGCCACGACATGTGGGGAAACACCATGCCCACCGCCATGATATCCACCCCCCCCTTGTCATCACCCCCCTCGTTGCCGCCACGCTGCGATACGCCAGGCTAAATTCCTGAAGGCGTGCCGGGTGAAGGCTCAGCGCCCCTCAAACGGGGACTCCACTAACGGGTACTTTGACCAGTGACCCAGCGAACCCAACCCTTCCCGATGTGGGCAAAACTGCAATGCAAGAAAAAGGCCCTAAAGTGGCAACTTTCGGCAAACATTCAAAGTACCCGTTAGTAAGTACCCGTTACGGTGCCGTTGAAAGGCTGCCAAACTTGTGAGCCACAGCTAGGACGGCTAGCGGGAGGCCGAGCGGGCGGGCCCCACGGCTCCAGCGGCGGTTCGTGGCGGGCGCAGGCGAAGGGGGCTCGTCCGAGTGCACGGAGCCGTGCCTTTGCTGGAAAGGGCCAGTGTGGCGTTGATGATGCTGCTGATGATGATGCTGATGATGATGCTGAGTATGATGATGCTGAAGATGAAGATGAAGATGATGATGATGATGTGCTGATGATGATGATGATTTTTATGATGATGATGATGTTCTGATGATGATGATGATGATGATGATGATTATGATTATGATGAAGATGAATATTAAGATGAAGATGAAGATGATGATGATGTTGATGATGCTGCTGATGATGATGCTGATGATGATGCTGAGTATGATGATGCTGAAGATGAAGATGAAGATGATGATGATGATGTGCTGATGATGATGATGATTTTTATGATGATGATGATGTTCTGATGATGATGATGATGATGATGATGATTATGATTATGATGAAGATGAATATTAAGATGAAGATGAAGATGATGATGATGATGATGCTGATGATGATGATGCTGATGATGATGATGATACTGATGATGATGATGATTATGCTGATGATGATGCTGAAGATGATGCTGCTGCTGATGATGATGATGATGAAGATGATGATGAACCTGACGATGGCGATCAAGAGGAATATGATGCTGGTGATAATGATGATGATGATGATAATGATGATGCTGATGATGATGATGATGGTGATGGTGATGGTGATGGTGATGATGATGATGATGATGATGATGATGATGATGATGATTATGATGATCATGCATATGATGCTGATGATGATGGTCGTGGTGATGATGTTGCCGATGGTGGTGGTGGTGGTGGTGGTGGTGGTGGTGGCGGTGGTGGTGGTGGTAGGTGAGGTTCTCTCTCCTGCGCGGGGTCCAGAGAAGACAATCGCCCCACTTACGATATGGGTGAATGAGGATGCTGGTGGTGATGATGGTGCTGATGCTTCTGAGTATAGAAGAAAGCACGAAAAAAGATAGGGGGTGAGGAGGAAACTCTCTCGCGGTGTGTCACGAGGGAGCAATAACTCCACTTAAGATATAGGGGGGTGAACACTGGAATGCTGGACATGCGGGTGACCATACCATGCGGGAAACAATCGGAAAACATGCGGGAACCCATAAGGGAACGCATGCGGCTGGACCTAGGACAAGAGAGCATCCGTCAAGAACACGAGCCCTTCCGCTGGCCAAACTGAAGAGCAGTCGAGGGTACCCCCCCCCAGGATGCATAAGAATATCCAACACACACGAAGAACTTTAGGGTTCGCCCCCCGAACCGAACTTGATCTCATGCCCCTGTCCGGCCGTACGGGTGACCGTGCGGGAGACCATACGGGATAACATGCAGAAGGCCAGCAAACAGGAGAGCATGGGGGATATCGCACGAGAACATGGGAGATCATACAACAAACATATGCGGGAGACCAAACTGGAGACCGCACGGGGCTCCACACTGAAAACCACACAGGAAGCCGTACGGGATACCATACCCGAGACCAGTCGAGGTACCAGATCAAGAGACCGTACGGGAGGCAGTACGAGAAACCGCTCGGGAGACTGCGCGGGAAACCATGCTGGACAACGCGAGGAAGACCACACAGAACATGCGGGACGGGAGGCCATGCGGGGAGCCGTACGGCAGATCACGCGAGAGGAAACACGTGCCGACGATTCTGGACCCTGGCCTTCGGGATACTACGCGGGGCCTCACAGACAAGCTGCTCCCGGAAGCCAGCGAAGAGAGAAACAGCTTCCTCATCATGCTCCTCTCTCCCCCCCCGACGCATCCGTGTTCTCTTGGCGGACGCTGGGCCTGTCGTGCCGTGTCCCGCCCTGACGGCGAAGATCTGCCGGAGGGCGGAGAAACACTCATCAAGAGCGCAGATCGTTGGATGTACCGTCGGGGCTGATTGACGAGGACACGCGAGAGGACATACCCTCCGAGGGCCACGTTGCCATACAACCGTAGAAGGCATGGGTGGCGAAACACGGGACACAAGGGGGTGCCCTCAAATTGGTACTCCAGACTTCTTAATAAAAGGGAGGGGGTCTGGACCCTCCAAGACAAGCCATTTCAGACCCCCCCGCCGTGGGAGAACCCTCCAAAACATCGTCCCCCAGACCCCCCCAGGCCCTCCAAGATAGCCTGGAAGAGACCCCCCCCGAAATGAGACCCCCTCCCTTTTATTACGAAAGCTGGAGTACCCTCAAATTGATAGGGTCGACCTAATATTCAGCCTCGACTGTAGGCCGACTCTGGGGCACTGGCAGCGAGCGGCCAGAACGTGGATGGGGTTCTTCCATGCGGGGGTTTGCCCGAGAGTGGCAGAGGGCACCACGCGACGACGACTCAGGATCGGGCGGCATCCTTCCAAGCTTTCACAGAAGTCAATGCAGCCCGTCGCTCCCTTCTGACTCCTCACTTCTCCCCGCTCCCCAGCCTTCATCCCGAGCCCCCTCCAGGGGACGGAGGGCAACAAGGAGAGAGGGCGGAGGACGCGGACGAGGACATCCACGAGAGGCGAAAAAGGCTCACGCAAGGGGAGACGCGAATGCCACTTGGAAAGATTGGGTTATGTTGCCCCCATCGCACTTACGGACCACATCCCAGAAATGATTTCGAGCTCCCGCAAAGGTGTCGAAAGAGTGTCGGAACTTTTTCTCTCAGGGCCAGACATGTCAAAACCCTCGAGCTTCGGTGATTTTCTGGTGCTACAAATTCTTTCTGGTGTCAAGGCGGCGAATCGGCGGTGGACAAACCTCCCTTTATTAAACCTCCCTTTAGTGAAAGGGGCCCGGGACCGAAACCGACGGACCTGGACCCGCAAAAATAACGGCCGCGACGCCCTCTCGCGAACCGGGAACGGCCAATTCGCTAATCGACGTGTCCGGGTAGGAGGTCTGTCCACCCTCGAGCCAAAGCAGGTTGGAACATCACAGGGCTTGGGAGGACGCAGGCTCCATGGGCGCGGCCTGCCCTCGAGGTGCGCGGAGGACCCCAGGCTGCCACACTCCCCGCAGGCAGCGCGAGGCAGGCCGCCGCGTGGACCCCCCTGGCGGCGCCTCCGGCGCCGCCCCCGGCGTTTGGTCGGGCCTGTCTCCCTACAGAAGGGCTTTGGGCGAAAAATTAAGAATACTCCAGAAATGCAATGCAAATGCACAAAAATTGTCAAAAAATCGTCCCCAGATTATTTTTGAACTATTCAGGAATATTCTCCTTGTAGAGGGCCATGCCCGACTTCACCCTGGCGCGCTCCGCGCGCCAGGGAGCGGGATCCAGCGCCGATCCGAGCACTCCGCGCGGACCTCCGAGGTTTTGTGCTCATGTTCATGGCTCTCTTCGGCCTCCTCCTCCTCCTCCTCCTCCTCCTCCTCCTCCTCCTCCTCCTCCTCCTACTCCTCCTCCCCCCCCCCGTTCACCCTCCTCCTCCTCCTCCTCCTCCTCCTCCTCCTCTTCCTCCTCCTCCTCCTCCTCCTCCTCCTCCTCCTCCTCCTCCTCCTCCTCCTACTCCTCCTCCTCCCCCCCCCGTTCAACCCCCGAGGAGACGCGGCGCGCGCCGGCCTTCGCGCAGATGCCGGCGGCCTGGAACCTGCACAGCTTGGTCTTCTGCAGCCGCTCCATCTGGGGCTCCCCGAGGCGTTCGGGGGCGGGCGCGCGGGCGAGGGGAGCAAACGCGAGAGGTGCTCGTGGGACGGGGACGGTGTGTGTGTGTGTGGCAGAGATCGAACCGAACGGTGTTGTTCGTTTCCGTATTGTGCTCGTTTTCCTTGGTTCTGTCTCCGTCCTACCTCTGTCGCAACCAAACAAATGGTCCACGACATCGCCGAAACACTGTTCAGCTCAAGCCCTAGAGAGTGGAGGTGGGCAGAGGAGGGAACGAGCATAAGGGGAGACTATCAGAGCAAGAGAAAGAGGAAGAGAGAGAGAGAGAGAGAGAGAAAAAGAGAGAGAAAGAGAAAAGAGGAGGAGGAGGAGGGCTGAGGAGGAGGAGGAAGAAAAGGAGGGAGGAGGAGGGAGGAGGAGGGAGGAGGAGTAGGAGTAGGAGTAGGAGTAGGAGTCAAGCTAGCCAGCTCGAGCGAGTCAAGCATGGCATGCCCAGTCCCACCCGCCCTCCCACAACATAAGAAGCAAAGCTGGCACAACTGGGGGCCGAAGTCACACCGGCCAGCCGGTTTGGTACAGCTGATGCGGCCGCGATGGCGGTTGCCGACGGGAACTGGCGAGCGCGTGTTGAATGCCGCGCACGCATTGCCAGACGAGTCGAGAATGGCCCGGTACACCGCAGGAAGCCAGAGGTGGCCGGAGGAAGCCCGACGGTCTGACAGGACACCCCAAAGCATTTTTGTGAAAAAGCATTGGGTTTTTTATGTTTTTATGTTGAAATGCTTGCAAACACACGGTGTTCGGTAGGATTCTGACATGAACGCGCGAGTGTGCTCTTTGTGGTATTTTTTGCACAGGATTCGCGGCCTGGGTGCATGACAGAGCATCGCGAGTGCACCGCGCGATGACGTGAAATCGCTGGATTTGACAGAATTCTTAAGATTCCTATGGTTTTCCTATGATTTCAGCAAGAGAGCCCGGGCGGGAAATTTGTACAATTTTTGTGAAAAAACATTGGGTTTTTGATGTTTTTATGTTGAAATGCTTGCAAACACACGGTGTTCGGTAGGATTCTGACATGAACGCGCGCGTGTGCTCTTTGTGGTATTTTTTGCAATGGATTATCGCCGTGGACGACAGGACGTCCATGTCGAGAGGAAAAAATAAGAAAAATGTTGATTTTGTATTGTTTTTTACAGGTTAGGATGGGACCCCCCGGATGCGGCCCCTAATGGCCGGCCTGAGGGGGGAGTAGGAGTATATTCTAATAAGAAATAAGGATAGGAGTAGGAGTAGGAGTAGGAGTCAAGCTAGCCAGCTCGAGCGAGTCAAGCATGGCATGCCCAGTCCCACCCGCCCTCCCACAACATAAGAAGCAAAGCTGGCACAACTGGGGGCCGAAGTCACACCGGCCAGCCGGTTTGGTACAGCTGATGCGGCCGCGATGGCGGTTGCCGACGGGAACTGGCGAGCGCGTGTTGAATGCCGCGCACGCATTGCCAGACGAGTCGAGAATGGCCCGGTACACCGCAGGAAGCCAGAGGTGGCCGGAGGAAGCCCGACGGTCTGACAGGACACCCCAAAGCATTTTTGTGAAAAAGCATTGGGTTTTTGATGTTTTTATGTTGAAATGCTTGCAAACACACGGTGTTCGGTAGGATTCTGACATGAACGCGCGAGTGTGCTCTTTGTGGTATTTTTTGCACAGGATTCGCGGCCTGGGTGCATGACAGAGCATCGCGAGTGCACCGCGCGATGACGTGAAATCGCTGGATTTGACAGAATTCTTAAGATTCCTATGGTTTTCCTATGATTTCAGCAAGAGAGCCCGGGCGGGAAATTTGTACAATTTTTGTGAAAAAAAAACATTGGGTTTTTGATGTTTTTATGTTGAAATGCTTGCAAACACACGGTGTTCGGTAGGATTATGACATGAACGCGCGCGTGTGCTCTTTGTGGTATTTTTTGCAATGGATTATCGCCGTGGACGACAGGACGTCCATGTCGAGAGGAAAAAATAAGAAAAATGTTGATTTTGTATTGTTTTTTACAGGTTAGGATGGGACCACCCGGATGCGGCCCCTATCTGCCGGCCTGAGGGGCGAGTAGGAGTATATTCGAATAAGGAATAAGGATAGGAGGAGGAGGAGGAGGAGGAGGAGGAGGAGGAGGAGGAGGAGGAGGAGGAGGAGGAGTGAGGAGTAGGAGGAGGAGGAGGAAGAGGAGGAGGAGGAGGAGGAGGAGGAGGAGGAGGAGGAGGGAGGATATGGACCTCGAATATGGGCGGCGAGACGATGCGGGAGCATCTAACAAACAAAAAACCCAAGACCTGAGGACAGGGCACAGCCTCGGCTCCCACACACCGGATGGCCGACGACGACCCACAGAAAAAAACTCCCAAGACGGAGCTACTCCCAACTAGGCAATCCCACCCAACCCATGATGGCGCACCCGTCGCACGCTTCGTGGCCCCATGGGGAGCGCCACCTCAAGTCCCAGTGACCGTCCTCGCACGCGGTTCCCGCCCGTTTCGGCACACCCCTCGCACGCTTCGTGGCCCCATAGAGAGCTCCACCCAAAGCCCCAGCGCCCGTCCTCGCATATGGTTCCAGCACGCCTGTCACACGTTTCGTGGAACTTCCACCGAGGTCCGCAGAGGCCGTCCTAGCACGCGGTTCCCCGCCCATGTCGGCACATCCCTCGTACGCTTCGTGGCCCTGCAGAAGGTCCACCTAAGGCCCCAGCGACCGTCCTCGCATGTGGTTCCCCTGCGATTTTGGCGGATCCCTCACACGCTTCGTGGCCCCATGGGGAGCTTCATGTCGGCACATACCCCACACGTTTCGCGGCCCACCAAAGAGCTCCACCTAAGGCCCCCGTGGCTATCCTCGCATGCGGTTTTCCTGCCGTGTCGGCACCTCCCGTTACCAGGTCCGTGGCCCCATAAGGAACTCCACCGCAGGCCCCAATTGCATTCCTCACATGCGGTCACCCCGCCCATTTCGGCACATTCTTCAACGCTTCGTGATAACAAAACGAACTCCACCTCAGGTCCAACGGCTGACCTAGCATGTGGTTCCCCGCCAAAATTTCGGCACACCCCTCACGCGCTTCGTGGCCCCATACAGAGCTCCACTGAACGCCGCAATGGCAGGGTTCGCATGCGCCCACGGTCACTCGGCACACCCCTCACACGTTTCGTTCGGAAGCTCTACTTCAGGCCCACAGGCCGTCCTCGCACGCACGCGGTTCCTTGCCGATGTCGGCACACCCCTCGCACGTTTTGTGGCCTCATAAGGAGCTTCACCTGAGGCCCAGGATGGCTCACCTCGCATTCGGTTCCCTGCCCATTCCGGCGCACCTTTCACACGTTTCGCGGCCCCACAAAGATCTCACCTGAGACCACAGTGGCCACCTTTTCGGTCCCGTACCGCGGACACCCTGCGCGCGTCGCTGGAAATCACTCGGGGCGACCAGCGCGCGTCGCGGGGACTCTTCTGCGCTTCGCCTCTTTCATGGCGAAGGGCTTGCATCTTGCGGGCGCCCACATGAAAACAACCCCCCGACTCCCGATCGCTCGTCGCCCCTGCCCCGGCGCGCCTTCATTCGCCCTCGCCCTCGTCCTCGTCCTCGCGCTCTTCCTCCTCGTCCTCCTTCTCCTCCTTCTCCTTTTTCCCCTCCCCCTCCTCCTCCAACTCCTCCTCCTCCCACTACTGCTACTGCTACTGCTACTGCTACTGCTACTGCAACTGCTACTGCTACTGCTACTGCTACTGCTACTACTACTACTACTACTACTACTACTAATACTACTACTACTACTACTACTACTACTACTACTACTACTACTACTACTACTACTACTACTACTACTACTACTACTACTACTACTACTACTACTACTACTACCACTACCACTACCACTACCACTACCACTACTACTACTACTACTACTACTACTACTACTACTACCACTACTACTACTACGACTACTACTACTACTACTACTACTACTACTGCTACTACTGCTGCTGCTGCTGCTACTACTACTACTACTACTTCTACTACTTCTACTTCTACTTCTACTACTACTTTTCATCCTTCTCCGCGAACCAATCCGTTTGCCGCCCCCCCCATCCTGCTTCTCACCTGATTCGCGATAATCGCAGCTGCATGTGGTTGGGTCCATCGCTTCGCCAAGATGATTTCGCATGGGGCTCTACGGATCTCGAACCCCTCCCCACGACTGGCTCTTCATCCTGGGATGTTGTTGTTGTTCGACAACCCTGGGGCTCCAAGCTGCTCCCAGCCGGGATGCATCACAAGGCTGGAACGAATCGGGCTGCACATTCGAGACAGGATGCCTGGTGTCTCGCTCTGTTCCTTCTTTCCCCAACCATCCTGTGGTCTTGGGTCCTCCATTTGAAAGAGACAGCGGCCCGCGTCTCCTTTCGCCTTTTCCTCTCCTCCTCTCCTCCTCCCTCCCCTTCCTCCTCCCACGCCTTGCCACTGCCCTCCGCATGTCTACAATTTCGGAACACACTCTCACGTTTCCTGGCCCCATATAGGGAGCTCCACCGAAGATCCCCGTGGCGCAGCCCGCATGCGTCCGCGCCAACCATTCCGGCACAGATCTCACACGCTTTGTGGCTCCATAAAGAGCTCTACCGAAGGTCCCCGTGGCGCAGCCCGCATGCGTCCCCGCCACCCATTTCGGCGCACACCTCACACGTTTCGTGGCCCCAAAGGGAGTTCCACCGAAAGTCACCGTGGCGCAGCCCGCATGCGTCCGCGCCACCTATTTCGGCGCACTCCTCACATATTTCGTGGCCCCTTATGGAGCTCCACTGAAGGTCACCGTGGCGCAGACCGAATGCGTCCGTGCCACCCATTTCGGCACACACACACACACCTCACACGCTTCGTGGCCCCATAGGGCTCTTCACCGAAGGTCCCCGTGGCGCAGCCCGCATGCGTCAGCCCCTCTTGACACACCCCTCACACGTTTCGTGGCCCCATAGAAGCTCCGCCGAAGGTCCCCGTGGCGCAGCCCGCATGCGTCCGCGCCACCCATCTCGGCACACAACTCACACGCTTCGTGGCCCCATATAGGGAGCTCCTCCGAAGGCCCCCGTGGCGCAGCCTGCCTTCTCAAAGATCCTCGTCGTCGAGTTCTCGTGTCACATCTCAAGCCCCCGGCAGCGGCTCGGGACGAGCCGGGCAACCCTGGAGCGGTCTCGGCGAAGCGCAGCCGCTTGAACGCCACCCGAGGCTGGAATACTGCTGAGGACTTTTTTCTCTTGGGAAGGGGGGGCACTGTCGTCCAACAAGATTCAGCAAGGCAGCTTACTGCCTGGTAGTTCCCTCGCCGCTTCTCGGGCTCGGATGCTTCCAGGCAGGGTAGAGGGTCGGCAGGCGCTGTCACAGCGCCCCGCCTAGCCACCTCAAGGACGACCGTGGCCTCGCCAGGCTCGACCTGGTATTCAGGTTCAGCACAAGAGACCGCCACGACGAAAACGCCCGAAAACCTTCGACCTCCCACCCGAAACGTCCCTCGGAAGAAGCGCTGCATGGGGGCGCCTTGCGGGCGCTGGCGCCGGCGCCTGCTGGCTCCGGGGCCGCCATCGCCGCCACCGGCGGCAGGCTGTGCCGCCGCGCTCGGGGCGTCCTCCCGAGGCGGGGGCGCCCCCGCTGCTGGCGGGGCGGAGGGCGGTACGCAGCCGGAGGGACTGTGAGGACTGGCGCCTTGGAGGCCTCCCAGATGGGGTCGGACATTTTTTTTTTGTTTTGGGGGGGGGGGGGGGGGCGATACCTCCTCGCGTAGCAGTGCCCGGCTGCTGTCATTGAAGCGGCCACTCTGCGGCCAACAGTTCCGCCATAAAGTCAATCCAAAAACTGCATGCGCACTCCAACGGCTTCCAGATGGGGTCGGACATAAATGGGGTCGGAGGATCTCGGCGCAGCGCCGATGCATCGGCGATGCATCGGCCATGCACTGGCGACGTCGGCGATGCATCGGCGACGTCGGCGTGGAGAAAATTGGGTCGAGCCGCACCGCCGATGCATCGTCGCTGCATCGCCGCTGCATCGCCGATGCATCGGCGATGTGGCGCGCCCCTCCGACCCCATCTACTCCGACCCCCATCAAGGAAGCCTAGACGCCCGGAGCTTTCTACATGGGGGTATGGCAACCCCTATCCCCGATTTTGCGGGGCCGTCGAATGGACCATTGGCGGCGCGCACAAGGGGGTGGGGGGAGGAGGGAGGGCTTCTTAGAAGGAGGCTGCGTCTTCTTAGAAGGCGCCGGCCTTACATCTATGGAGAAGGCCCGCGCCCTCGAAGAAGCAGGGGTGCCTCCAAGGAGCCTTCCCCCCTCCCCCCACCCCCCTCTGCGCGTGGCTGAGACCAGAAATCGGAGGCCAAGCTGGGGGATCTGCGAAGGGGGGGGGGGCGTCCAGCCTGGATGCGGGGTGCGCTCGGGTGGCCGCCCCCTAGAAATTTTCTGAGCGGACTGATCATTCTCACCCGCCTCGAACTCATCCCCATCCCTAAGATTGGCACGCCAAAAGGCGATGACAATCTTAGGGATGCGCCCTGAAAAACTGAGGGAATCCCTAAGATTGGCATTGTGATGAGGCGATGCCCAGCTTCGGGATAGGGCAATGTTCCAGGCTGGTAGTATTCAGGGGAAATGGGGCATTTGGGGGCGATAGATCGCTTGCCATCGCTCCCGGCATGGTCCTAGGGGGAAAGGGAGCATAACTCTCCGTCTTCGACACCCCTGCGATCTGGTCTTGCAAGAACAGGTCGTGAACAACGATCCCGCAAGGCTACCCTGGCAGCAGGATGCAAGAGGCTCATGCGATATAACTGCCATGCCCCTGAGAGGCTATGTTTTGGAATGCCCTTGAAAGGTTCCTGATGGTCCTTCGATGCTCATGAGAAGGTGCAGAGAAGGACCACTCCCAGTGGCCGTTCCCGAAACAGCAAGTAGTTAAGGACGATTGAGTGCAAACTCTGTTTGATGAGTACAGTTTTGCGGCGGCCTAGCACGATCAACTTTATGGGACACGCGTAGTTCGTGTAGAGAAGTGCTCCCGGAACGCGTATTGAGACGCCTGTCAACATTGGCACTCAAAAACAAGGCTTGAAAACTCCGCTACCGGCAGTCGTTGCGGACGATCCTAGGAAGTCTAGCTCACATGCAAGAAAGAATGCGCACACATGGAATGGCCCTGCTCATGAAGGGCAGCATGATACTTAATAACGACGGAACGGAGAGAACAGGACGGGGCAGGAAGGAAGGAACAATGCAAACCCGTAAAATCTAGGTGACCGATGGGGGAGCAAATGCATATGATGCTGCTGATGATGATGATGATGATGCTGATGACGATGGTGATGACTATGATGACGACGATGATGAAGATGGTGATGCCGATTCTGATGATGGTGGTGATGATGATGAGGAGGACGATGAAGATGAAGCGACGGACGACGATTATGATTCTGATTACGTATGATCATGAAAACGATGTTGATGATGATGCTGCTGCTGCTGATGATGATGAGCAACAAATGCTGGTGCGATTAATGATGGGAATGATCATGCTGACGATTAGGATGATGTTGATGATGATCACGACGACGATGATGAAGAGGATGACAATCACGACGATGATGGTGGCAAGGTGAACCAGGAGGCAGAGGACAAGGATGCAGGTCATGGAGAGAAGCATGAGCCAGGCACTCCTGGCCGCAGGCCGCATGGCCAGTGGCGAGCGGCCGGCAGGCGCGCGCTTGGGCAAAAAACTGGGCCACCGACGTCGCCTGGCCTGGCCTCCTCCTCCTCCTCCTCCTGATTCTTCTCCTCCTCTCCCCCTCCTTCTCTCCTCCTTCTCCGCTTCCTCCTCCTCCTACTCCTGCTCCTCCTCCCCCTCCCCCTTATCCTCCTTTGACTCCTCTTCATCCTCCTCCTCCGCCTCCCCCTCCTCCTCCTCCTCCTCCTCCTCCTCCTCCGCCACCTGTCCCCTCCCCACCTCCTCCTCCTCCGAGACGCAGCGGGAGTCGTTCGAGGATCAGGAGGAGCGCGCCTCGGAGGATGCGCACTCCGTGCTCGCGAAGGCGCTCGGCATGGTGAGCGAGACCGAGAAGCAGCGCGAGCCTTTCGAAGCGCGGGAGGCGCGTGACTCGCACAGCAAGCACGATGAGGACTACCAAGGCCTGCTCGTGCAGCCGCTGGACGTCGCGGGCCCGCACGGCAAACAACTGGACGAGAACGTGGTTGGCGTCGTGACCGAGGCCCCCGAGGCGGACCAGAAACCTTCCGAGGATCAGGATGAGGCAAAGGCCGCGATGGCGTCCCAGGCTCAGTTTCTCGAGGACGCGAGTGGCGTGCTGAAGGTGTACGGCCTGGACGTGGACGAGAAGGGCGCGGGTTCTCTCGAGGACGTGGACGGCACCAAGAGCGACGTCAAGAGGGGTGAGCGCGTGCGCATTGCAGACGGCCCGTGGGCTGAATGCAGGGGCGTCGTCGCCCGAGTTGGCACCCAGTCTGCAGGTGTGCGGCTCGAGGCCACATGCAAGGGCAAGCCCAAGGGCCGCGTCGCCGACGTTGCCGTCGACGCTCTGCAGGTTTGTGTGTTGATCATTTTCGGCTCTGAGGGCGGGCTCGGAGCCCAGTGCAGGCGCGTGCGCGGGGCTCGCGTTTGGGTGTGGCTGCCTGTCTGCACGGGCCCGCGCGCCTGCGGCCCCGGGGCCCTGGTTCCTGGTCTCCTGGGTCTGGGGCTCCGGGGGCTCTCTTGTCTGCGGGGGTCTTTGGGTCGGTCCCGGGCTTCGGGCTCTTTGGTCTCGGGTTTCTTGGGGTCGGGCCGTCCCCGCGGGGGTGGGGCGTGCGCCCTCTGAGATCCCCTCCCGGGGTCTTGGATGGCGTTTGCTCCTGTCTGGTGCCCTCTCTTGGGACACGGTGCAGCCTGCTGGCCAGGGTCAGCGTGCTGGCGAGGCAGGTGCTCCTACCTCTCGGGCTCAGCGTGGCGACCGCGCGAGAGGTGCGGCCTGCCACAGCGACGGTCCCACAGCTTTTGTTCAGCGGGCAAGGCCCTTCCGTCTCGACCCTTGAGGCGCCGTCCCATCCCATCCCATCCCATCCTCCTCCCCCTCCCCCATCCTCCTCCTCCTCCTCCTCCTCCTCCTCCTCCTCCTCCGCCTCCTCCTCCTCCTCCTCCTCCTCCTCCTCCTCCTCCTCCTCCTCCTCCCCCTCCTCCGCCACCTGTCCCCTCCACACTTCCTCCTCATCCTCCCACTCCTCCTCCTCATCATTATCCTCATCCTCCTTCTTCCCTCCCCTCCTCCTCCTCTTCCTCCTCCTCCTCCTCCTCCTCCTCCTCCTTTCAGCTTTTCTGCCATCAGATCCCACGGCGTGAGACCAGCGGCAGGGAAAGAAAGGGGGGGTGGGCCCCTCCCCCCCCTCCCCCCCCCTCCCCCTCCTCCTCCTCCTCCTCCTCCTCCTCCTCCTCTTCTCTTTCTTATTCCTATTATTATTGTTATTATTATTATTAATATTATTCTTATTATTCTTATTATGATTATTCTGATTCGTCTTCTTATTCTTCTTCGTATTATTATCATTCTTATTATTTGTCTTCTTCGTCTGATTCTTCTTATTATTCTTATTATTATTATTCCTCTTCCTCTTCCTCCTCCTCCTCCTCCTCCTCCTCCTCCTCTTCCTCCTCCTCCACCCCCCCTCCGTCTCCATCAGGACGCATGTCATGCTCATTCTCCTCTTCGCTCTCACTCTATCCGCCTCTGTGCCTTCGGTACGTAGTAGGAGCGCCCCGAGGCTCATACAACTCTGCGAGGTAGAGGGCCGGTTCGTCAGGACCCGGACCCACAAATTCTCCAGGCGGCCCCAGGTGCCACTGCGCCCTGCCCGGGTGTGTCGCTTGAGCTCTTGGGACGCCAAGAGAGCGCCAAGACGGACCAGGAGGACCCTGAGAGGCCCCGGAGACGGCCGAAGAGGGCCCCGAGTCCTCGAACGGTCGGCCCAAGATGCCCAGGATGGCCGCCAGACGGCCGAAGATGCCCCCCAGCAGGACTCGAAGATGCCTCCCAAGTGGCACAAATCATTGATTCCCCTTAGGTTTTTGGCAGATGTTGGCGCAATCGCCCTTTCGGCTTCCCGACGCTCCAGGACGGGGCCCCAGAGGCCTCCAAGATCGCCCCAAGACGGCCCAATGGGTCTCCAAACATTTCCGAAAACGGCCCAAGATGTCCCCACAACGGCTACAAAGGAGCCCAAGACGGCCCCAAAGCCCCCGAGACGGCTCCAAGAGGGGCCCCGACGTGGGACCCGAATAGGCATTTCAAGCTAGCTCTCGGCCCCAGAAGGCGCCCAGAAGACCCCAAGAGGCCCCCAAGAAGCCCCCAAGATAATTCCCAAGAGGCCCCCAGGAGGCCCTAAGAAGCCCCCAAGAGGCTCCCAAGACGATGGTCCCCAAATCCCCCCAAACGCACCAAAACTGCCCCCGAGAGGCCTCCGAGAGCGCCCCCGAGAGACCCCAAGAAACACCCCTAAGGACTCTGACCCGCAACCCAGACACAGTGGCGGGATGGGCCGAAGGCCATTCGATATCCGCCGCCCCCTGCTGGCTTGCCAGGGGTGCCCGGCGTGCTAGACCCTTTCGGTTCCTTGTCCAAAAGAAGTCCCCCTGGGGCTTCGGCCCGTCCCGCCGGCCACCCGAAAGGGATCTCAATCCCAGAACAATCCCCCAAGATGGCTCAAGATGACCTCCAAGATGGTCACGGTGGCCCAAGATGGCCTCTAAGATGGTCCAAGATGGCCTCCAAGTCCGCCCGCGATGGTCCAAGACGGCCTCCAAGACGGCCCAAGAGAGTCCAAGATACCTCCAAGTTCGCCCAAGAAGCCTCCAAGACGGCCCAACACGACCCAAGAGGTCTCCAAGAGGTCTTCCAGGAAGGCCCGAAGAGGCCCAAATCATTGATTTCCCTTAGGTTCTCAAAGGATTTTGGCATTTTCGCCTTTTCGGCCTTCCGACGGCCCAAGAGGCTCCCAAGATCTTCCCAAGATCGCCCAAGTGGTCTCCAAGATTGCCCCATGACGGCCCAAGAGGCCCCCAAGATGCCCCCAAGAGGGCCCCAAGACGGCCCAAGATGCCTCCAAGACGCCCAAAATGCTTCCAAAACGGCTAAAATAACCCCAAGATGCCTCAAGACGGCCCAAGATGCACCCGAGACGGCCTAAGACAACCTCCAGATGGACCAAGACTGCCCAAGAGGCTCCCAAGAGGCCTTCAAGACGGCCCAAAAGGCCTCCAAGAGGTCCTCCAGGAGGGCCCGAAGAGGCCAAAATCATAAATGTTCCTTAGGTTCTCGAAGAATTTGGGCAGTTGCTTCTTTTCGGCATTACGACGGCTCAAGACGGCCCAAGAGGCCCCCAAGATCGCCCACGAGGCCTCCAAGATAACCCCATGACGGCCCAAGAGGCCCCCAAGACGGCCCCAGGAGGGCACAAGAGGCCTCCAAGACTACCAAAATAGTCTCCAGGACGGCTAAGCTGGCCCCAATATACATCCAAGACGGCCCAAGATGCACCCAAGACGGCCTAAGATGGCCTCAAGATAACCCAAGACGGCCCAAGAGGCCCCCAAGAGGCCTCCAAGACGGCGTCCAGGAGGTCTTCCAGGAGGGCCCGAAGAGGCCAAACACATTAATGTTCCAAAGGTGTTTGACAGATTTTGGCATTTGCTTCTTCTCGGTATTCCGACGACTCAAGACGGCGCAAGAGGCCCCCAAGATCGCCCAAGAAGCCTCCAAGATGGCCCCATGACGGCCCAAAAGGCGCCCAAGACGGCCCCAAGAGGGCCCCCAAACGGCCCAAGAGGCCTCCAAGGCGCCCAAGATGGCCTCTAAGAACCCCTGATATGCCCCAAGAGGGCCCAAACGATCTCAACGTTCGCAAAGAGTCCTCTGAGACCGCTCAAGATGGCCTCCGAGTTCGGCCACGAAGGTCCAAGACGGCCTCTAAGACGGGCCCAAGAGGGTCAAAGATATCTCCAAGCCTGCCGAAGAAGCCACCAAGACGGCCCAAGAGGCTCCCAAGAGGCCTCCAAAGACAGCCCAGACAGGCCCGGACGGCCCAAGAGGCTCCCAAGAGGCCTCCAAAGACAGCCCAAGAGGCCTCCAAGTGGGTCTCCAGGAGGGCCCGCAGAGGCCGAAATCTGTGATGCACGTTCGGCTTTTGAAGGGTTTTCGCGTCTGCTTCTTTTGCGGCCTGCCGACGGCTCACGACGGACCAAGAGGCTTTCAAGACCGCCCCAAGATCGCCCAGGAGGCCTCCAAGAAGGCTCAACGACGGCCCCAAAAGTCCCCCAAGACGGCCCGAAGAGGGCTCTGAGACGGCCGAAGAGGCCACCAAGACGCCCAAGGTGGCCTCCAAGACGGCCCTGGAGCACCCCAAGAGGGCCCCAAGTCAGCCCAGAGAGGTGGAGGAGGAGGTGGAGGTGGAGGTGGAGGTGGAGGTGGAGGAGGAGGAGGAGGAGGAGGAGGACGAGGAGGAGGAGGAGGAGGAGGAGGAGGAGGAGAGCGCGGGCGAGGAGGATGAGGACGAGAAGGAGGACGAAGACGCCGACGACGACGCCGACGAGGATGACGACGACGACGCGGAGGAGGCCCGCGGCCGGCGCGCCGCGAGGCGCCGCCGGGAGCCCGGCGCGGGCTCCTGCGGGGCCACGCGGTCGAACGGCACCTCCCC